TTGTTTTGAGACAGTGCCTTTTCTGTAGCTTTGCTTGGCAGACTTGGTACTATGTAGCCCATGCTGGCCTTAACATATGATGCAATCTGACTCAGGTTCCTGAGTGGCTGTGATAATGGATATGCTACCACTCCCTGCTTCACATGGGCCTGCTTTTGTTTTACTGCATCAGTACAGAATCTCATGTATTTTAGGTTGTTATTGAAATTCCTATGTAGTAGAGAGTGCCCTTGATCTCCTGATCTTCCTGAATTATGTCTCCTTAACTCTTGGAATACAGAACTCTGACTCCTGAGTGCTGGGAGTAAGGTATGCACCTCTGTGTCCACAGTCACTTACAGATGTAGGCAGAGACCTGGAGGATGGTGTTGAACTTCAATTATCTCTCATTGGTTACTTCTCTACCATTAACATGACTATTTTCACCTCTTTCTTTGGGGCTTTTGAATACATTTGTCAAAATCATGGAGAATATTTCTTAGAGTGAAATCAGTAGAAATAAGTATTGACTTAGGAGACATCTGATGAAAAATAAGGACAAGGGTCTATGGTAATAAGTTGATCACATGACCAAGAGAACATGGTTTAATTAAAACAAGCAAACAAGAATCAATAGGGGTTATTCCAATTTTTTGTACCTGCTGAGGTTTGATATGTTGCCAAGTATGTGGTCGATTTTTGAGAAGGTTCCATGTGCTGGTGAGAACAAGGAAAAAGATATATATATACCTTACGAGACAGGGTTTCTCTGTATTGTTTTTGGAGGCTATCGGTCCAGCCTGGCCTTGAACTCACAGAGATCTGCCTGCCTCTGCCTCCCGAGTGCTGGGATTAAAGGCGTGCACCACCACCGCCGGGCAAGGTATATTCTTTATGTGGATGGAATATTCTATAGATGTCTGTTAATTCCAATTGGGTCGTAACTTGTATTAGAACCCTTTGCTTCTTTGTTAAGTTTCTGTCTGGTATTCCTGTCTAGTGGTGAGAGTAGGGTGTTGAAGTCTCCCACTATACGTGTGTGGGCCTTTATATGTGATTTGAGTTTTAGTAATGTTTCTTTTAAGAACGTGGGTGCCTTTGTATTTGGGGCATAGATGTTCAGAATTGAAACTTTATTTTTGTGGATTTCTCCTGTGATGACCTCCTTCATCTCTTTTGATTGATTTTATTTTAAAATCAAATTTGTTAGATTTAGGATTGCTATACCAGTGTTTCTTGGGTCCATTTGATAGGAAAATCTTTTCCCAACCTTTAACTCTGAGGTAAAGTCTGTCTTTGAGGGTGAGGTATGTTTCTTGTATGCAGCAGAAGGATGGGTTCTGTCTTCCAATCCATTCTGTTAGCCTGTGTCTTTTTATGGGTGAGTTAAGGCTATTAATATTGAAGGATATTAATGACCATTGATTGCTCATTCTTCTTTGATTCAGAATGGCTGTTGTTGGTGGAATTATGTGTGGAATTCCCCCCCTTTTTTCTTTTGGCTGTTGGTAAAGTGGGATTATCTACTGCCTATGTTTTTCTGGTTGTAGTTAACTTCCTTGAGTTGGAGTTTTCCTTCCAGAACTTTCTGTTGGGCTGGGTTAGTGGATATGTATTGCTTGAATGAAGTTTTGCCATGGAATATCTTGTTTTCTCCATCTATACTGACTGAGAGATTTGCTGGGTATAGTAGTCTGGTCTCTTAGTCTGGTATAGCATCCATGGTCTCTTAGTGTTGGTAGAATATCTATCCAGGACCTTCTGGCTTTCAGAGTTTCCATGGAGAAGTCAGGTATAATTCTGATAGGTTTGACTTTATATGTTACTTGGCCTTTTTCCTTAGCTGCTCTTAATATTCTTTCTTTATTCGGTATATATTGGGGTCTTGATTATTGTGTGGCGAGGGGACTTTTTTTGTGGTCCACTCTATTTGGTGTTCTGTAAGCTTCTTGTACCTTCATTGCCATGACTTTCTTTAGGTTGGGAAAGTTTTCTTCTATGATTTTGTTGAATATGTTTTCTGCCCCTTTGAGGTGGTTTTCTTCACCTTCCTATAGCCAACACCCCATCATGATAAAGGTCTTGGAGAGATCCGGGATAACAGGAACTTACCTTAACATAATAAAAGCTATATACAGCAAGACAACAGCCAACATCAAACTAAATGGACAGAAACTCAACGTGATTCCTCTAAGATCAGGAACAAGACAAGGCTTTCTACTCTCTCCATAGCTCTGCAATATTGTACTTGAAGTTCTAACTAGATCAACATGACAAAAAAATAGATCAAGGGAATACAAATTGTAAAGAGGTCAAACTTTCAGTATTTGCAGATGATATGATAGTTTACATAAGTGACCCAAAGAACTCTTACAGCTGATTAACACCTTCAGCAAAGTGGCAGGCTACAAGATCAACTCAAGAAAATCAGTAGCCCTACTATATAGACGATAAAAGGGCTGAGAAAGTAATCAGAGAAACATCACCCTTTACAATAGCCACAAACAACATAAAATACCTTGGGGTAATGCTAACCAAACAAGTGAAAGACCTGTATTGCAAGAACTTTGAGTCTTTAAAGAAAGAAATTAAAGAAGCCTTCAGAAAATGGAAAGATTCCTGATGGGGGAAGTAAGGTTAGGCGGTAGTCCGAGATTTCTCTCGCGGTCACGTGCTCTTTTACTGGCGGCCTGCTGATTTCGGCCTGAATAAAACTCCACTGGTAACAAAATTAACTGCTTTATACAATGTCAACAACTAACATTACGATGCAGGATATTAAGAATTTTCTTGTTTTTTGTATCGATGGGAATTTTAGAAAGAGTTGATGACCTACCTGAAAGGTACTTCCCTCCCACGATGGTGATTATTAGTTTCATAATCAATATAATTTTGCTAAAGAAATGGTTCAAAAATAGGGTGAAACTTATACAGGTCATACGGTTATTGCAGGATAGTTATGAAATCTTAGTACAAAGAATTCAGGAAATGGAAAATTCCTTGCAGGATAGTAAGGAAGGTTTGGTAGAAAATATTCAGGATATTAAAAATGATAATGTAAGTCTGACAAACAGGTTTAAAGAGACGGAACAAAAAATTGAATTACTTTTAAGAAAAATGTGTTCAACAGACAGAATAGAAAAAGTGGAAGATAATGTTGAAACGTTTAACCAACAAAACTGTTCCATGTTTGATGATTTCACTAGCAAACTACAAAGACTGGAACCAGGGTGCTGGGAAGGCTTCTCTTTACATAATGGTGATCAGGAGTGGTATTGAATTTCCACGTAGAATGACAAAAGCTTTAAAGGAATTTTAGAAACAGAAGAATGGAGAGAAGCGCAGATTTTTGGTAGCAGCATTTTCTCAGGTGGGCTCTGTTTTGCTAGCGACAGGCAGAGACTCACGCCACGGCTCGCTTAAGGGTGTCTTCCTGACTCAGCATAAGCAAAAAACAAAACAAAACAAAACACAACAACAACAACAACAACAAAACACAGCAAGGTTCTTTTAAGAGGCTCTGCTAACGATTGAAGGGTGTGTATGTACAGCTGGAAGTGGCAGCTTTTGCTGGATGTCAGCATGGACTGAGGCGGTAAGCTGGAGTCACGCTTACGCCCGCCATCTTGGAAAAACGGCAGTTTAAACAGCCACGGTTTTAACAGATAAGACACGTGGCCAGAAAAACACAAAGATTTACAGTAAAGTCAGACTTGGATGAAGAAAAACTTCTAAAGGTTTACAGTGTGTTTAAAAATATATGTAAGATTGAGAGAGAGAGAAAAAAAAGGACAAAGTGGTAAATAAGTAGAGAAGCCGGCTGTGGTGGCGCATGCCGGTAGGAATTGCTCCAGAGGCAGAGGCAGAGGCAGGCAGGTTTCCAAAGAGAAACCCTGTCTCAGCAAAAAATAAATAAAAGTAAAAGAAATGAAGTAATAATAGATAAATAAATAAGCCATGTAAAGATGGAAAATACACAGAGTCTGGATACTGTACGCTATTGTGTTTTTCAGTATTTTGATTGCTCAGGAAGGAACAACTGCTAAAGTACACTTGATTATAAATGCTGCTGAAGTAATTCAACTTATACCTTTTAAAAATGCCTTGCCTTCTATATCCAAAAGATGCCCATTCATACAACAAAGATGTCTGTTCCACTATGTTCATAGCAGCTTTATTTGTAATTGCCAGAATTTTAATGGGGACTGGGTTAAATCTGTATATTGCTTTCAGTTAGATTGGCATTTTTACTATGTTGATCCTACCTATCCAAGAGCATGGGAGATCTTTCCATTTTCTGATGTCTTCTTTAATTTCTTTCTTTAGAGACTCAAAGTTCTTTGATACAAGTCTTTTACTTGTTTGGTTAGTGTTACCCTGAGGTATTTTATGTTGTTTGTGGCTATTGTAAAGGGTGATGTTTCTCTGATTTCTTTCTCAGCACTTTTATCATCTGTATATAGTAGGTCTACTGATTTTCTTGAGTTGATCTTGTATCCTGCCAATTTGCTGAAGGTATTTATCAGCTATACGAGTTCCCTGGTGGAGTTTTTTGGGTCACTTATGGAAACTATCATATCATTTGCAAATAGTGAAAGTTTGACCTCTTCCTTTACAATTTGTATTCCCTTGATCTATTTTTTTTGTCGTGTTGATCTAGCTAGAACTTCAAGTACAATATTGAAGAGGTATGGAGAGAGTGGACAGCCTTGTCTTGTTCCTGATCTTAGAGGAATTGCGTTGAGTTTCTGTCCATTTAGTTTGATGTTGGCTGTTGTCTTGCTGTATATAGCTTTTATTATGTTAAGGTAAGTTCCTGTTATCCCGGATCTCTCCAAGACCTTTATCATGATGGGGTGTTGGATTTTGTCACAGGTTTTTTTTCAGGATCTAGTGAGATGATCATGTGATTTTGTATCTCAACTTGTTTATATGGTGGATTACATTGATGGATTTTCATATGTTGAACCATCCTTTCATCCCTGGGATGAAGCCTAATTGGGCATGGTGGATGAGTTTTCTTGGATCTGATTTGCCAGTATTTTACTGAGTATTATTGCATTAGTGTTCATGAGGGATATTGGTCTGAAGTTCCTTGTTTTCCCAAGCTGGAGTTTATTTAAACTCCAATTAAACTTTTCTTTGTTTGTTTTTCCATACAAGGTTTCTCTGTGTAGCCAAGGTTTCCAAGTTCCTGGAACTCTCTGTAGACCAGACTCGCCTAGATTTCAAAGAGATACACCTGCTTCTGCCTCTCAAGTACTGTCAGACAAATATTCTCTTCATCACTTTGAACACATCAGGCGATTGTCTCTGGGATCCTGGGCTTTGGTTTGATGTCTCAGGCCTAATGGGTATCATATGAATGACATCATCTATAACCCTCACAGATGTTAGTCCAGGCCCTGGGTTTCCATGGAACACAGCATTTTGTCACAACATGCCAACGTAGTCAGAGGCTGCCTGCTCTCAGAGTGAATGCTCCTGGTCCATCTCCCCACACATACACTCTGGGTTTCCAGGTGTCTGTTGTCTTGGCAACTGCTATTGCATCTGGTTTTACTAGAGGCTCATCTCTGTGAGTGTTGGGTGCAGTAAGAGGATCATGATTCTCCCCCTATGACTGGGTCTTAGATTCTGTGACCTTTGTTTCATTCTCTGAGTTTCTGGATGGTTCCTGACAGTGCCATTGGAGTCACATTCTGCAGTCCACGGATATGGAAGGTACTTAATTCTTTTCCTGAGCAACAAGTACCTGGTTAGGTTGTCTGCAATGTCTTTGGGTGTCTCCTTTAGGACATAGGAATGTGTAGTTATGGACAGTCACCTGGGCCTGATATAAACATTTTCTTTAAACTTCCCCATTGTGAATTTGTTTCTAGCCATATCAACAAGGACCCGACCATGGAGCAGGGCAGGGAGGCCTACTACTCCTCCGAGGAGTCCTTCATGACGGACTATAAGATGATGATGACCCTGGGCCGGGGACATTTTTCCAAGGTCAAACTGGCCTTCCACGTTCCTACTGTAACCTGTGTGGCTGTAAAAGCTGCTAGAAATAAGAAGAACGCATCTCTTGTCAACCGTGAAGTCAACATCATGAAATGTCTCAAATATCCGAATATCATTAAGTTGTTTTTACGTGCTCCAAACAAGAGATACCACCTTCTAGTGATGGAGTACACATCAGAGGTAGATCTTCTTCGACACATTCTGGAAGTGGGGTCCTTAGAGGAGAGCGAGGTGCGAAGGCTATTTACCCAGATACTCCTTGCAGTGGAGTACTGCCATAGCAACCATATTGCCCACAGGGACATTAAGGCCAATAACATACTCCTGGACAGCAGAGGTGATGCCAAACTGTGTGATTTTGGCCTTGCTGCCAACGTGACCCCAGGACAGCTGCTGAAGGACTTCTGTGGCACTCTGCTCTACTGTGCCCCAGAACTCTTTGCAGAGGAGGCCTATGATGGGTGTGCCACAGATATGTGGAGTCTAGGTGTGCTCCTCTTCCTAATGGTGGTTGGGCGCTTTCCCTTCCGGGCCAGCTCTCCTAAAGGTGTTAGGCATCAGATCCTTGTCGCAAACTTCACCATACCTCAGCATGTTTCCATTGATATTTTCAATGTCATCGTAGAACTGCTGATGATCAACCCGGGAAGGAGGCCGACCATTGATCAAATCATGAAGCGCCCCATGATCAGGGACAGGAAGACTCGTTTGCCACCTCCTTCCACACAGAAACCCCCAGGCACCCTGAGCCCAAGCATTGTCAACACCATGGTGGTCATGGGGTATAAATCTGAGGAAAGAATTGATTCTCTGAGAGACCCAAACTACAACCAGGTGATGGCCACTTACCTGATTCTCCAACACCAGTCTCCTGGGGGAGACTGCTGCCATCACCAGGTGAAATCCATGCAGCCAGACCTTGTCCTCAACCTGGATGATCTTCACACAATTGTGTTAACATGTCACATGAACGCTTCCATTTTATTTTCTGACTTTTGGTTCTGTCCACATTGTTTGGAAGGAAACTCTTTTCCTTTGTTGGTTTTAGTGTTCACACAGAGTCTTGTCCTGTTAAGTAGGAACAACTCAGGTTCAGTGTAGGGAGTTGCAGGCTGAGTGTAACCCTTCACAAGGAACATGCACGTTCTGATTATTTAAATTCTGAGATGTGGATCCTGGCGCTGGGAGCTGCGTGAATGCAAAGACTGAAACCAGCCTGTGGCAGCATCCTTGTCTCATCTCAGGCCTGGTGGATGAGAGAGGCCGGAATGGCAGCTTGCTGCCCAGAGGTCAGGGAGACACCTCATTTGAAAAGTAAGGTGGAAGTCCATGGTGGTGGAGCACCACATAACCCAGGACTGGGAGCAGCCTGATCTCTGTTGTTTCTGGTCTGTAGCCTGGGCTACAGAGAGAGTTCAAGCACAGCCACTTGTGCACAGAGAAACCCTGTCTCAAAAATCAAACTAAAGTATTAGGGTGTGAAAGCACTGGGTCTCTATTCCTGGTCTACACACGAGCTCAATCAGTGAGAAGAGACAGACAGACACGACCACTCACACATACACCCCTGTGGGCATGGATGTGTCAGGCTAATATACACACATACTCATTATGTACAGTTCTCCAATCCTGCCTTACCTGTTCCTCAATTCTGTCTAGACCCTATATCCATCGTATTTTATTCTCATTTTCAAAATTCAAGACTCATAAACCCCACAGTGACAGATGTATCAGGCTTTTCTTATAGAATTCCTTTTTCCCTTCTCTCTTCTTATTTTGAAACAGGTTTCCTGTATGCAGTACAGGCTGCCAAGAATGGCGACCCTGCTACACCCAACTGAGTGTTGGGGCTACAGGTGAGCTCCTATTCCTATTGGGTTTTGTGGCTTTGTTTTTAAATGATGCATGTAGCTGTGGATATCCTTACATTTGTAATCTTTCTATCTCCATGTACCAATGAAGGGATTAAAGTAATTCTCCACCAAGTCTGGTTTATTTTGTCCTGGGGACAAAACCAGGTTTTCCTGCATGCTGGGCAAGTGCTGTCCCAACTGACTCACACCTGTATCTCAGCCAAGCCTGGGATCCACTGTGTAGCTGAGGAAGACCTGGAGCTCTGGGTCATCCCTATGGAATAACAGATCTGCACCATTGACCCTGCCTTTTCTCTTTCACTATTTCTAGATGACCTGACTTTCTACTGAGAGTCTTTTGAAGGACCACAAACATGAGCGTAGCCTTTTCTTCTGAAGCTGGTGAGCTGTGACCTGGCTGGGAGGGAGGTAAAGGAAGGTGTCCCCATCCCATGCCATATCAAGGACACGCAGGTCAGTGTGCAGCAGCCCAGGTCATCACCCGTGTAGCCAGATATTTTCAAAGCCCCGTTCTGATTAGCAGTCCTCAGGCTGGTCTCATCTAACTTCCTACGCAGCTCCGTGGGACAGAATGGAAGGCAGAAGCCTCTCCAGTGCATGTCCACAGCAGCAGCTGATGATAGTAGGAAGATGAAGCCTCACATTGCTTGAAGGTTCAGTCCCCTCATCCCTGGGCTCTCCCTCCCTCCCATTTTCCCTTTCTAGGCATTTTGTGGATTTCCCTTAAGACTAGATGGCAGAGCCAAGGTGAAGGTGTATGCTGATATCCCTGGATTCTGGAGGCTTAGATTGTGGACTAGCCATAGACTCAAATCCAGCCTGTGCATTATAAGGAGCAATAGTCTAGCTTTGGTGGCATTGTGAGATCTCTCTCTAAAAACAGAATGTGAACAGGAGGACCTGAGGTCAGCGGGTCCACTGTGCACAGTGGTTATTGTTCGTGGGATTTTTGCCAGCACTAAATAATATCAGGTGGACTTTGCCTGGTATTAGGGGTAGAGACAAGAGCATCAGGCAGTCAAGGTCATCTTCCAAAGCACAGAGTTTGAGGCCAGTCTAGGAAGAATGAAACTATTTTATTTTTATTTATTCATTCATTTATTTATTTATTTGTTTTTATGAGACAGGGTTTCTCTGTATTGTTTTGGAGGCTGTCGATCCTGCCCAGCCTCGAACTCACAGAGATCTGCCTGCCTATGCCTCCGGAGTGCTGGGATTAAATGCAAGCACCACCACCGCCGGGCTGACACTATTTTAAATAAACAATCCTTACTCCCAAATCTTAATCCCCATATCTGAGAAAACAATGACATGGCAACCCACCACAACCTCATATTCCTCATGAATCAGACTGCCTTTCCCAGGTATAGATGAAACCAGAGCATCCAGATGTGCCGTGAATATTTCGAGTGATTCACATCTGGAATTGGCTGAGCATGGAGTCATCTCTTGTGCAGTGTACTGAGGAGCTGTTCAGTAAGTGCTTCCTATTGATCATGTGGGAGGAGGGAAAGGGGAGGAATGGAGGGCATGGAGACTCAGTCCTGGGCAAATGAGAAAGGCAGAATGCAGCAATGTCTTGAAGCCCTGAGACCCTCTGATGTTTTGCTGCCACCTTGTGGCCACTCTATACCTGTTCCCAGTTAGTGCCCCTGATTTGCTGCATCCCCTGCTTCAACTCAGGACACAATTGTGGTGGTTATGTGGGTTTCAGACTGGGGTGGAGGGAGGCTTGCCGTGTGAAACCCATATAACATGCTTTTGTCCTTCTTCTTTCATGCTTTTTCTCATTTGTGATAACAAACAAAACACCGTTCAGAGCTGGGCTGTCCTGATTTTCCTGAACCGATTTCATAGACACACTGCTGCTCCTGGACATGCCCTCCACAATTGAGATGACTGGGTTGTGAGTCAAGACTGTGAAATCCATACCTGGGTGAGATTCAGAAGCACAAGAGGGCTGGGACGGTGCCTGTCTGTCCATACAGTGCCTGCTTTCATTGTGAGATATGTGGTCATGACCCAGAGAGCCAGGGAAAACCAGCTGGCTGGCTGAGGCTTGTTACCCTAGAACTTGGAGATGGAGGGACATGCATGTACCTTTTGTTTTGTCTTTGTTTTGTTTTATTATGTTTCTGAGACAGGGTTTTTCTGTCCTTCCCTGTCTCTCTAGAGCAGACTGGCCTTTGTCTCACAGACAGTTGCCTGCTTCTGTCTCCCAAGTGCTGGGATCAGAGGCGTGCACCACCACAAACACGACCACACTTGACTGCAGGTGCTTCAACCTTGCTGGACTTGAGAAAGCCTATGTCCAAAACACAAGGTGTACATATCTGTGAGTTAACATTTGAGGGAATACATGGGCTACTTACTTAAAAGTTAGAGCATACACATGGATATATACAAGGACACGGATGCACAAGCACAC